AATTTTTTATTAGTCTATATTCTTCCTAGATTTGGAAGTAGAATCAAAAAACTTTATAATAAATAAAAAGTTTCTATTGCTTAAAAGAAATATTTGTGTACATTTACCTCCAATATTGAGTCCAGTAAAGTAAGAGCAGATACCCAAGGATGATGATTCGGATTAACAAGTATCATTTTTTGAGCGTGTAAGCTGGGTGCAAGATCGCTCAATCCAACAATGTTCGCTTTCGACGATTCCGTAACTTCATCACTGTCTCCTTCATTGTTGAAAGTTGGACTTGATTTTTCCAAATCATAATAAATATCCTCAATGTCGTCGAATTCAGCTACCTCATTACAATAATTTCGGATTTGATCGTAAATATAATGATAATGCAGTGCAGTATAAGCTAGTTCATAAGAATTCAACTGTGAAGTGAGGTACAAAAATAATAATTGTGAGACGTTTTGCCCATTGTGATAGATTACATAGCTTTCAGTAACCTTTGTAAGCTCACTCGTTTCTTGCTAGAATAAAGTTTACAACAATTAATCATAAGTATTCGATCGACATAGATTTGAAGAACATTCAATGAATCCTTACCTCTCTCCGTATTCTAAGAGACTCACACAGTGTTAAGAAACATAAAAAAATATACAATTTATAAGACATAATGCTGACAATATATTATTCTATTGTAATTTCAAGTCGATAAATTTGAGTACTCTTCTTACTGAAGTGAAAATGAACACGAAAATAATTGTAAACTAAGGAATTGTAAATGTTTTGATAACAATAGGAGTATTATCAACTATTTATTTCGAATGCTTTACTATCGGTTAAAAGATAGTCATAATGTTTTACCATTAGCTTGTGTAACATTAATAATTTTCTTTATCAAACATGCAAGTTGTTGAAATACGTAGCTGCACCAGTTGCGTTTGATAAATTTTATCATTAGTTACTTTACCGTTTATATTCATTGTAATTGTAATATATTGCAGAAAACTATACATCAATTTCTAAAATTTGCTTGAGAATAGTAACAAACGTCGCCAAATATGAATAAAAATTGATCTCGCAAACATAGAGTTTCAAGTATGGCTGAAAGTTCTTTTTGAACACGATATTTTTTTTTTTACTGCTATACCAGATAGTCTGGTAGTTTTTAAAAAATGAAAAACTATGCCGATGGGCTAAAGGATTTAGGTCCAATAGCGGCTTAGCTCATCAAAAAATTCGATTTCCCATTTAAATAACATAAGAAATATTTTTTTTTCTTTCAAGTGGATTTTTCGTTATGAAAAAAATTTTTTTCCAAAAATCCTCCTTATGATTTTTGTAGCAAATTAAATTCTCTACAACAATATCTCTTTGGTCAAAGTCTGTAGAACCACTCGTTTCAAAGTTATAGCCCGTCAAACGGTAACATTTAAAAAAAGACATTTTAAATTCCATTTATTTTTCAATTTATTGCTCTTACATGAATAATTTTATTTTATTATGTATTTTGAAGCATTAAAATTTTAAATTAAAACATTAACTTGTCTTTATACAATAATTTAAGTCAAAATGTAATTAATTTATCGCTGTAATTACAAGCAATATATTCCTTAAAAATACATTAATTATTTGAAAATTTATCTGTTTGAAGAATAATTTTTACTCAGTCGGACAGAAGCTTTGGAGATCCACCATATATGTATTTTCATCGTTTTAGTATACATAAAAGCATGATATTGTGTGCCTTCAGCGATCCAAGCTCTTCGACACGATTTAGAATTTATTAAAGATTTACTGAATTATGAAAATATAGGAAAAATATATTAGAAGTAGTATCAAAAAAGTTCAGTAATCACTTGTTGCATCAATCTGAACAATTTATTTATTTGTCATTATTTGATGCTGATGTTAGTTTGATTATTTTATTATTTTTAACTTCCCGAAAATAGAAAATTTTTTAAAATCGGGAAGTTATTGTTTTCACCCCGTTTTACGAAAATCGAGTTTTCATCTGTATGTATGTGTGTGTGTGTGTGTGTGTATGTGTGTGTGTGTGTGTGTGTGTGTGTGTGTGTGTGTGTGTGTGTGTGTGTGTGTGTGTGTGTGTGTGTGTGTGTGTGTGTGTGTGTGTGTGTGTGTGTGTGTGTGTGTGTGTGTGTGTGTGTGTGTGTGTGTGTGTGTGTGTGTGTGTGTG